GCGTTGTTCTGAGGTTTCCATAATTCCATCTATTAAAGTGTTTATAAAGTGTAACACAATATGGTAAAGTTGTTTGTTAGTGGTACCATGTGTCTAGATCTGCATTTCCCCGCTCCATACAATATCAGATTGACAAAAAAAAAAGGAGATTTACAAAAGGGAGCTATGCAAATCTCTGCATTGGCATGTGTGTAGTGTGGTGTGTGTGTGTGTGTGTGTGTGTGTGTGTGTGTGTGTGTGTGTATGTGAGAGAGAGAGAGAGAAAGAGAGAGAAGGAGGTTTGGTTTTTAAAATATCAGGACAAGTATAGGGAATATTGTTTCCACCACAGACTCCTCTTGCTGTCTCTTTACCTGTCAGGAGGACTCACCAGCAGGATACACAGAATTTTAGCTTTTGCTTACAGTGCATCTCTGTGAGCAAGAACAACTCACAGGCCCACCTATGTGTACTCAGCTTAAAATGTTGACTCCTAATGTTTTTCCTTGAATTTCACCATCATGAGACTCAGGCCTCAGGAATACTTTCTTGACACATCAGCATATTATTTTGGTGTGATAAATAGGTATGTTTTGGTCTTCTTTCTTTTATATCTGTCTTAATAGTGCAAAAATATTTTTTCATGAAGTGAACTTGTATTAATGATAGTGAATGAAAAAACAAACCTCCTTGACAAAAAAAATAAAGCATTGTATTGTCACAATGTAAGAGTCATAATAGATAATAAATATTTTATTATCTATTCATTTTCAGAAACAGTAGATTGGGAAAATTTCTAAAACCAAAATTATTTTTTTTTCTAAATACATTCTAAATTTATTTGATGAAAATTGATGTCCAACCATTTCATATAATATTTAGCAACTGAAAGAAATTTGCAGAATGTTGCTTAAAATTGGAATTGACTAGAAAACTTCCAGAGGAAATGACATTTTTGGTTTTCATCATTTATTGATGACAGGGTTTTGTATAAGATTCTACTTTGGATTCTGGGTAAGATTTTGTTGTTGATTTAGCATTTTATGTCCCTGCCCCCCAAACATGTTCTGTTTGTTCTTTGGATCCACAGCCCACCATTCTCTGTCCTATCTCTACTACTGGAGATGTGGTGTCTGTGTGGATAACACAGTAGCTTTCATTCTCTTTGACTTCAGTTCTCTTTGGCTCATGGGGAGACCCAACAGAATGGAAGGAAGGAAAGAGTGAATTCAGGGTGGGTGTGCATTTCCCCATCTCCATTCCCATGAGGTCATCTTAGGCAGGTCGCATCCCTCAAAAGAGGTTTCCCTCACCCAAGGCAATGGATCCTGCAACCTAACCCTCTTTCAGGTCAAGGAGTAAATTATCCCTTAAGGTTCTCCTGTAATCCCACCTTTGTAAATATTCCCTTTGCAAATAGATGCTCCTTAAATAACCCTGTTTTGAATGTCAACCATTTTCTGTTGTCTTTGATTGGAACAGACCCACTAGTTCACATATTCTATCTTATCTTTTATTCTGGCTCCATCTCTATAAATTCTGTAACTTTATTCCTTTTTTCATTTTAAAATAACCTTATCAAAATTTTGTTTTAGTATCACTTTTAAGTGAGTCATGGTATAAACAAGATAAAAAAAATCTGATTTATTATTTGAAGCTTTTTTAAAGTACCTCTAACTAGCAGGAATAGGGCAAGAATTCAACTGAATTAATCAAGGCTTTATATCAAGATAGAAATAATCATTGTTCCTCTACTTTCTTTTTATGAAATGCAGCAATTTTGAAAAATAATTAATAAAGCAGGAATGAAATTTTTGGAAAAAACTGTCAAATAAGTATCACTATTATATTTTCAAACCCTCTCAGTAATCTCAATCATTTTCTTTTTTAAATCCCCTGAATCCTATATTGGACTCAAGAGCTCCTCTTAGCCATTTGAGCTTAGCTTTTTGACTAGCCATCCAATCTGAGTGCTTCCAAGGGTCCTATCTCTAAGCTGTCTACTTTTATTTCTTTTTGACTCCATTATTGGTGATTTATATCCTCTATTTGGCTACTCAATTCAGTCTTTGGTAACTTGAATATAAGATAGGACTTTTCTGTTCTTGCCACCAGCAACATCTAAAGGCAAAATGAAATTTGTTCCAGAGAATATAAAACTGACCAATCAGAAACCAAAATATTTTCTATCTTTATCCCCTCTCCCTTTCCAATCAAAATTTTCTCATATTAATTCATAATAAAGATCTTACATAAATAGAAATACCATGACAACTAACCTCCTTGAGTAATAACCCTAACAAGGATTTCAGTTCAAAACATACTTCATCAATAGTTGACCACAGTTCTAATGAGGATTTCGAATACCCCTTTACATGGCTTTTACTATAACCCAATTTGGATGATGGGTATAACACTGAAATTTTGATTTCTAACCATACAGTGTCATTAGCAATATTCAAGAAGATTTTCCAAACATCTGTTTCTATTTTTCCTTTTATTTTTCTCAGATTCCTTCTGAGCTCATTGACTGACCTTGACATCACAGCCAAACCCTAAATCAAAGCATTTTATGTTCTCCATTTTTTCCCCAAAGAAGGTCCTAAGTTCTTATTTTCCAAGCAATAACAGATTCCATTTCTAGGACTTCTTATCTTTTCTTTAGCCACATCATAAATAACTGGAATTTTATGTTTACACAAAAAGTTCTATTGTACATTTTTTTTAAAGAAACATAGTTAAGAAGTTGAAAATCTAATTTCTTTATATAATTTGGTTGGTTCATTTCCTTTCTGAACCATGATGACAGACAAAAAATTGGGTATATCCAGATTTAAATTATAAATTACATTCAGTAAATTTTGATCTTAAATTACACCAAGGGAACAATCAAGTTTGAAATGCAGTCCAAGGCCCTTGAAAATATTGAGAATTTGTTGATATGTACGGAGGACATAAAATTTAGGTGTCTTAGAAGGCTAACCGCAGAAGGATCACATGGTCCTAAGTCTGGAGTTTCAAATTCGTCTTTCAAGCTATTGCTCCCAAAAAAGTCCAGTGATTTATCCAAGGTCACATACATGGATTTCTGATTAAGAGAACCTTCCTGTTTTCCTGGACACTATGTCTGAGAATTGAGTGTCTGATTCATTCTTTTCTAAGCCCTTAGAGGGACAATGTTATGCAATTCTCCACAGGTATTTTGGCAGCTCCTAGGCCTTTAAATCAAGGTTCATCTCTGTTCCTCTCTAAGAAGAGAGAATACACATGTTCCATCAGGAACATTAGACCACCAGAGAAGATGGTCTCCCACTCAGGGATTAGAAAGGCACCTGTCTATGATCCAACTTCAGAGGACATTTATTGAGCACCTACAATGCATCAGGTATTGTGCAAGCTGCTTCCACAAGGACTGTCTCCCATGGGCCAAGAAATTTACATGCCTAACCTAACTCTTCCATGAATTACCCCTGAGACCTTGAACCAAATTTTGAATCTGTTTTCTTTTTACAAAACTAGAGAAAAGTTACCTGCATTTTTTATTTCCTAGAATTATTGCACAAGTTAACAAATATATGAAAAATATTCAGCATCCTTAACAATCAGGAAAATGCAAATAAAAACTACGCTGAGATTTCATCTTACTCCAGTTAGAATAGTGATCATCAAGAACAGAAATAACAATAAATGCTGATGAGAACATGGGGAAAAGGGGTCACTAACACATTGTTGGCAGGACTTCAAATTAGTACAACCACTCTGGAAAGCAGTATGATGACTCCTCAAAGGACTAGGAGTGGAACCACCATATGACTGCACCTATCCCACTCTTTAGTATTTATCCAAAGAACTAAAATCTGCATGCTATATGGTGATACAGGCACTTCACTGTTCATAGCAGCATAGTTCACAGTAGCCAAGTTATGGAGCCAAGTTATGGTGCCTAATAACAGGTGAATAAATAAAGAAAATGTATGTAGACACAATGGAGTTTTACTCAGCCATAAAGAATGAAATTATGTCATCTTCTGGTAAATGGATGGAACTGGAGAATATCATAACAAGTGAAATAAGCCAGACTCAGAAAGTCAATGGTCAAATGTTTTCTCTCACATATAAAAGTTAGAAAGAGGTAAGTACTTTTTTTTTAAAAAAGAGATCTCATGAAAATAGAAGGGACAGCAGTGGAGTCAAGGAAGGGAATTAAGGAGGAAGAAGGAGAGATGGGAAAGGGGAGGATTGTGGGATGAAATTGGCCTAAGTGTGCTCGGTGTGTATATATCCCAATGAATTTCATTTTTATGTATAATTAAAATGCATCAACTAAAAAATTAGTAAATGGAGGGTCTGAAAGAACAAACAAGGCTCGTCATCCGAGAAAATGCCTGTTTATTGAGGAACAGCTCTGCATATTTATAAAACTGGGGATGATTTGACAGTTATGACAGTTTAATGGTTGAACAGTTTGACAGTTGGCATGTGGTGCTTTCTGATTGGTGGGTGAGGATCATGTGAGCCAGCAGGGCTAGTCTGATTGGTAGGTAAGGATCATGTGAGCCAGCAGGGCTAGTCTGATTGGTGGGTAAGGATCATGTGAGCCAGCAGGGCTCACCATTAGACGGCTCTTCTCGGGGGATGGGAAAGTTAGTCTTTGGAGCCTGGGCGACTCCCAACAGAGGAAAGACCAGTGGAGTAGAGGAAGTGAATCAGAGGAGGGAGGAGGAACAAGAAAGGGAAAGTTCTGGTGATGGAAATGGAGCAAATGATGCTATATGCATCTATGATTATGTCAAAATGAACCCCACTAACATGTACTTTAATAGTTCAGGAGAAGATGTTGCTATCCTGCAGAGGAAAAGTAAAATAAGCAGAGCAGCAGAGAGAAAGGATGAGATGAAGTCGATAAAGAAAGCAGCTGCTGGCAGATGAGTGTTCAGGGAGTCTCAGGGAACAGGAATGACAGAATACCCTTCTGGGTTTTCCTCCAGGCAGCTTGTGAGCACAGACCCAAGATTAGGCAGGAAGCTCTCCTGGGAGGTGAGGGCAGTGCCTGTCTGTCCTCCATTCCTGGTCACACCTCCTCACAAGTCTCCTTCCCCTCATACCTTGTTTTTTTTCCCCTTTGTTTAGATTACTCTTTCCACTGCAATCTCTGATGCTGCTCCTCCTGCCACCCAGCTTATTCCTGCACCTCTTTCAGATCACTGCATCTTCTAGCTCCAGAGTCGATGTTTGCTCTCTACATTATTCCTCCCGGCACTTGGTGAGACCTCAGTAAACACTAATGAAAGACTGCTATCCAGTGAAGCCCTTGCATGGTCATAGAGACAGAAATCCTTGCATTGGTTAACTCATTTTAGTGTTCTGTTTTACTATTTTTTTAAAGATTGTTAATATTGTGTTTTAAGTAATTTTAAAGCTTTTCCCGAGTATTGATTCTAATATGCAATCAGAATTGAGAGCCACTGGGCTTGGATAATTGTTATCAATTCTGGTTACATGTGAGTATTCATTTAAAAAAAGAAAGAAAGAAATTATTCTTGTTCAAAGCCAGCATTAGTAACTTAGCAAGACCTTTTCCCAAAGTAAAACATTAAAAAAAAAAATGTCTGGAGATGTGGTTCAGTGGTAAAGTGCCTCAGATCCAATCAATGGTACCAAAATGAGACAGAGAGAGAGAGAGAGAGAGAGGGGAAGAAAGGAAAATATTCTCTAATTATGATAGTAAAAGTCCATTTTTATAATTTTCTAACTAATTTGACATTTACATACAGCTGCAAGAAAGATACATTTTTAACAGAATGAATGAGAATAGATCCTTTGTTTATCATTATTTCAAAGATTTTCCTTCTCTACTCTTTTTTTGCATACTACTTTCTATCACCATGACCCTTCACCAGTAAAAACAAAGCAAAGCAAGTGGAGGAGGGAAAACAAAACAAAACAGCTCTCATCATAGTGTAGTCAGATGATCAGAAAGAAGAAGAGAGAGTATCAAGCAAGAGGAGAAAATATAAAAACAAGAGGATTAGATGACCTCAATGAGGTGGTTTTGCTGAGGAGAAAAGGAATGTTGGAATGTAAATGGAAAATTCCTGTCCTGAGGTACAAGTTTCAATTCTGTAGCTTTTAATCATGGAAATAAAACAGAGTGTAGGAACCTTACCAAATATAGATCCATCCTGGCCAAGTCCAGGTATGTACCCCTCTATAAGCACTTAATTGCCTTCCCCTGCCCAGCACTTTCCACATTCACCTGGTGACAACCTTGCATAAGACACCAAGAGGACAAATGCACCAGGTAAGTTAATGAATTAGGTCTGACATTGCTTAGTAATCCCTTGGTTCTCTGGCTGTTTAGGTTGTACTCAATGAATATACTGCTGGCTTGAAGGATTTGATGTGTTTTGCTATTTTGATTAATAAAGTGTATTAATTAGTATTATAAAATTTTATTTTGCTATTTTGACTTGATGTGTTTTGCTATTGCTATTGATCAATAGCAAACAATTGCCAAGAATATCAGATAGTTTTTGCTGCTCTGTGAACTAGAAGTTTAGCACCCAAAGATAGGCACTCTCCTTTTAACAGAAGAAGGGCAGAATGAATAACAAGAGCTGGAGTCCTCCCCACATAGCTCTATGAACTTGAGCAAGTTATTTCACCTCTTGGTGCCTATTGACCTCATCTACAAATGAGACGAATAATGATACCTACTTTGTATGGTTGTTAATAGGATTTACTGAGTTAGCTGATATATGCCAAAGCTTGTAATTTCACCTGGCATGTGACAAAGTCTCAGAATGTGCTAGCTATGATCATTGGTAGCTACTTTGTATAATCAGTTCTTCTATAAATACTTGTTTTGAAAACAAAACTTAACCCAGTACAACTGATATATAGGAACAATTTGAGCATAATGCAAATTTCAAGTTTATCATATACAATTTTGTCTGTGAATAATACCAATGGAGCCCAGAAAACTGTAAAAAACTGTGTTATGTAGGAAAACCTAAAATGCCCAAAGACACACACCTGAACCATCTCCCAATGGCTGCAGATCACTGTGTGACAGGCCACACCCATCTGCATCCAGGATCATGACTTCTGATCTGACTTCAAATAACCTCCTTCCACTACTTCATAAAAACTTATCAACTGCAACCCTTGGAACACCCACTTCTTTTTTCATGGTATTTATGCATTTCTTGATAATTTAACACAGGTAAAACTGTCCCACCATTTTTATTAGATCCCTGTCTTTCTTTTGTGTCACTGACAGAGTTTTTGTGTGTTATGCCTCTGATCCCATTTTCCCCACAGACTCCATGGTTTTTAACATACTACTTTTCATCATGCTGTAAGAAAACATATGTTGCATTATGGTAGAACTTACTGTAATTACTGTAATTAGCATCTTTGTAATTACTGTAATTAGCATCTTTGATAAATCAGTAATGTGGTTATCAGCACTAAAAGTGAATATATTTTGAACTTGCTATATTTTAGTTAGGTTGCATCACAAAAATTATTTTATTAAAATTACTCAAACAGGGTCTGGGATTGTGGCTCAGCGGTGGAGCGCTCGCCTAGCATGGGCACGACCCACATTTGATTCTCAGCACCACATAAAAATAAAGGCATTGGGTTATGTCCATCTACAAAAAAAAAAAAAAAAAAGATTCTCTCTCTCTCTCTCTCTCTCTCTCTCTCTCTTTTAAAAAAATTACTCAAACAGTATTATAAAAGATGTGTAAAGATCCTTCCCATGAAAAAATTTAGGGAAAAATCCAAGACAGCTATCCCACTAATATAAGGAGCAAAACACCTGTGGCCTTCTCTCTGGAACTGGTTGGGATGCTTTCTTCTCACTTAGCAGGAATCTCTTCCTAGGTTTCTCCCATTGTACTCCCACAAGCTTCCAGCATTAGGCATATTCATTTAAGAAATCATTTATGTGATTTTCCACATTTCATCATTGAACAATACTGCACAGGCCTACTCTCTCCTAGGAGCCAAGTCAGATATAGGAGATAAAGAAGAAGTTGAACACAAGGATGAATATGACACTATTACCTCCATATTCCCCTGATGGAGTTATTTTCAAAAGGGTTTAGCTCATTCATGTCACTTAATTAAACAAATAAATTTAAAATTAATACAACAAGAACACCTACTTTCCCCTCCTTTCTTGCTTCTAAAAGGCATTCACAGTTAGAGATGCTAGCTAAATATAAATAAATTTTTTAATTTTTTTAAATAGTATTATAAAGCCAGGTGTGGTGGTGCATGCCTGTAATCCCAGTGGCTCAGGCAGCTGAGGCAGGAAGATCATGAGTTCAAAGCCATCCTCAACAAAAGTGAGGTGCTAAGCAACTCAGTGAGACCTCGTATCTAAATAAAATACAAAAAATAGGGCTGGGAATGTGGCTCAGTGGTCAAGTGCCCCTGAGTTCAATCCCTAGTACTCTCCTCGCCCCCCAAAAATTTTGGTAGCATAAATACAATATTATCTATTAATTCCTTTCTTGACTACAATTAGGCCTCAAATAATAACTTATTGGTTTTTTTAAGAAGCTTTAGCTTTAATGATAAGTGATTACATTTTTTTTCCTGCAAGACTTTAAATAGAATACCATGTTAAAACACAGCATCAACATCATTGCATAAAGAATGATTTCTCAAATACAGGATACTGACCTTTCTTACTTCTCTATTTATGTCTGGACAGGAGGACATACATTAATTCCAAAGGGTGAGAAAAAGAATCAGGACAAGAGGGACCCAGAAGAGAACGCCTTTCCCTTAGCAAAATAGGGACATCATGTTGGGTCTCCAAGAGAATCTTGTTGACAGTGTAGTCTATCCGGTTGAGATGACTAAAAGCTTATCCCATTTGAAGGCAGAGAAAGGGACTCTGAGGCCACAGTAGGGGCTGTGCCTTCTGAAGTCTCTTTCTCTGTACCATCTCGAAATCCCAAGTCAAGCCAACATGCAGTGCTTCACATACAATTAAAGGGGGTCACCTTGCTGGGCACAGTGGTACACACCTGTAATTCCAGCAACTTGGGAAGCTGAGGCAGGAGGATCACAAGTTCAAAGCCAGTCTCAGCAACTTAGTGAGGCCATAAGCAACTGAGCAAGACCCTTTCTCAAAACAAAAATAAAGGAATGGAGATGTGGCTCAGTGGTAAAGCACTCCTGAGTTAAATCTCCAATACCAAAAAGATAAAAAAGGGGGTCCATCTCTGTTAATTGAGCTTTTGTATAAGGTTCCTTGTCCTTTGAATTCAATAGATTATTAATTCTACTTAATTCCTTTAGTCTCTGGTGAGAATACTGAGATTGAGACAGCAATTGCCACTGTTTGAGTCTTCAATCTTTTTTGAGCCAATGTATGAATTTTAAATCTCTCCAAATTTTCCACATTCTCAGAGGGGGCCAAGAGCAGGCCTCAAACCCACCTGGCTGCTGGACTTTTCTATTCACCCTATTCGACCACACAGCTAAGTGATCAATGGAGAGCAGTCAGAAATCTAAATGAGTGGGAGCTTTATTTTAATTGGAGTGTTATTGGTCAGTTCCACTGTCAGGCACACTGTCAGGAAGGAGTCCTCAAAGGCAAGCATGGAAAGGCCAACTTCTGTGGGTTCCCATTTCATGCCCTGCCTGCATGTTTCAAAGGCCATCAAGTAGAAAGTCAGTGCACTAGAAATAATGCATAATATACAAGAACAGAAGTAGAAATTTGAGTCTAAATGTTGAGTACTAAATATATTAGACCTTTCTTAATGTATATCAGACTGAGGTTGCTAGAATTAAAAAGGCTTTCAAGTACAGAAGAGTTAATATTGCCTTAAATTTCTGGATAAAATTCTGAGCAAAATATGTGCAAAACAAAATTGAGATCATTCCTGACTAACCAAGCTAAACATTTTTAGATACTGAAAGCAAAACTCTCTTGCTAACTCACTCTCTCCTGCTCTTTTATGCGCACACACACACACACACACACACACACACACACACACACACAATGCTCTTTAAACAAATATCAAAAAACTACTAAAAAGTTAAAAGCAAAGACAGCATTAAAATGCATAAAATAAATTCTAATTATATCTAGAGTAAATAATTCTAATATTGCTAAAATAAGAACTTTGCAGAACTAAAGCAAAGTTCTACCCTTATTACTCTTTCACATGTAATTTCATAATGTGTACAAATATTAACCAATAGGAAGAAAGTGCCTAATGGATCAGG